AAGGATGGAGGAGATACGGTCAGACTGAGCCACGGGTATGAAGGTGCGTGTGAACCAGCCAGCACAGGCATCCCCACGCAACCGGTGGGACAGGTCATGCAGTGCCACCCTGTCAGATTAACTGATGCCTGTTTACAGGATCAGGAAGAGGCAGTGGCACAAATTATGTCAAAACAACACCTCAGGGGACTGCAGTACACAGCTCAGGGAAGAAGGATGTAAGTGAGTCACAATACCTTTAAAAAAACACTGATTTTAGACAGAGTATGAGAAACTGCACTAATGAAACCAGCACAGTGGTTGTACAGACTTCACAAGAAATCAGAGGAAAGGCTCTAGTTGGATTTTTCTGGATTTAATGAGGGTTAACAACTGTTGCAAGTACAGATCTGTGAGCAACTTCTTCTTTCCTGTACTCTGTGTAATTTTCAATAGATGTATTTTGCTGGTTTATGAACTGGTGGGTAGAATGGAAGGTACCTCTAAATATCACAACTATTTCTTACTTTCCTGACATAACCTTATTAGATTTCAGAATACCTGCTGTCATCCTGGTATTAGCTCTCAGCCAATTAGAAACATACACAATTCCAGAAAAAAAAAATAAAGTACCAGTATGGAACAATCTCATACAAAGTATAACTTACACACTGGATATTAAGAAAGATGTTTAAAAGATATACAGGCTGAATACCTGAGAATGCCTCAGAAAGGAAAAAGGGTCAAACTTACTTATATATATATATATCCAGAATGTAATTTAAATCAAAAACCTGCAAATGAAAAGCTACAGCTGACTTATTACTGTATGTTGTTTGTCTGCATGGTGCTGCAAGTGATGAGTGTTGCTCATGCCTGACTGACCTACCCACCACTGCCAGGTGCACAAATGAGTAAGCACACAATTACTCCAAGCCATCTGCAAACAGGCTGATGTGTCAGAGTGACATCTTAAAAGCACTCCAGTCTGTGACTTCATTCATGGCCATGGACACATCAGAAACAGATAAGAAGCATCTAAATCACATGGACCACTGGAGTTGCCGAATTCCTCAGGTCAAATGGTAACTTTTCTTCCAAGTGCACTGGTGGATGAAAGCTTTAGTTACAAATGCATGTATCATGACTGGAGTTTAACCTCTAATGTCAGCAGATTTTGGCTGCAAGTCACAGGCCCTCCCTAGCGAGTGCAACATCCTGTATGTCAAAGGCAACTGTGCACCATGGTATGTACATCTTTCAGAAAATAAGGCAATCTTAGAGGCCATCTTTTAACAGAAACCCAGTTCTAGGAAAAGGCAGAAAGACATGCTGAATACTCACATCGTGAACTTCTTCAACTGAAATATAAGCCTCTGTGGGCAGCCCCAGATCCTTTGGCTTCACATCAATAATCACCAACACCTGACGGAAAAAGCAAACATTTCAGAAAGCTGAATTTCATTCAAAGACCAGAAAAAAAAATCCCCACGTCAGCTCTTCATTCCAGAGCAATGGTACGCTGGCTGCTGAGAGGCGTAAACTCCAGGCTCTGAGAAAAGACATCTATAGTTCTTTGATAAGACTCTGATCTGAGTACCTCAATACTTTTGCAGCTACCAGGTCTTTAACATGTTACATCACCAGTCACAAAGTTGGGGCCAAGGACTCCCAGATTCAGGGAGAGAGAGGACCCTGATCCCCCCACCAAAGAAGTGCTGTACTCACAGAGTTAGGACAGTATCTTTTCATCAGTTCGTTGATGGCAATGTCGTTCTTGTGCAGCTTAGGGCCTGTATGGTACCAACCAACTATTCTTTCTCTAGCTGAGCAAAACCAGAAAGGAATCTAAATCAGAACTGCGTGGTAAGACAATAGCAGAAAGATTTATGCAGATATCAAATTAGGAAAGGAAGGGTGAAAATCTGATATGTGTAGGCAGAAATAAATACCAGCAAGCAAGGCAATGACATGGGTAGTGACACACAGTTTACTAATTGTACCTATCATAGCTTACTAACTGCATCTAACTTACTAACATCGTTCCTAGGTTTGTAACTGAACTGGACTATTTAATATGACTTATTAATTTTGCTGATAGCAGGATGCAATAGCTTGAAACTGACACCTAGAGATGCAAAAATTCTACAAATGCAAATTGTATCATGAGAATGACAGCTGGTCTCAGGACTAAGAAAATTCACAGGAACTGAAGTTATGACTGAACATTCTGCTCAAACTAAGTGGTAAAGACACTTTTTAACTTCAGGGCACATCTGTACAGAATGGATTTTAGAGAGAAAGCTCTGAAATTCTTCGGAAATAATGGCATTTTGAAATCTGAGTTATTCTGAAGATACAAAGCTGTCAGGAGTCTTGGGGAAACTAGCGAGGTATAAATTAATGTGTTAAGAACAAAAACCTACCTGCACAAATTAACCAGTGGAAAACCATCAGTGCAAGTGAAGCCATGCAAGGAATTAGCATGGAGTGGCTTCTTATGTGAGCAATTAACTCTCAACCGTACTATGAATTCAATTCCCCATAGTCTTTGAAGATACTGGGAGTGTATCCCTGATGGCAAGAAGACTTCAACTTACCATTGACCTTCTTAAACATTCCATACATGTTCTCTAGATAGTCATGGTCTAGGAACCACACAGTATCATCCTTGTCATCTTCATCAAAAGGTACTGGGATTAAAACAAAATATCAGTATTTAAGAATCCAACTTTCAGAATAAAGATGCTTACAGAAAGACTGAGGGCTGGGATATCTTTGGCTGCTAAAGGATAGTGGATTTTAATCAGTTTCAACTGTTGTGCAACATTGCTGCCCAAGCTAACCTGTCATGTTCTCTCATGCAACGTCTCATCATTACTAACAGTTCACAACTGAAAAAAGAAATGCAAAACATTCTGGGAGTTATCCTTGGTGGGCAACATCAAGAATCAGAGAGAAATTCTCCTACATACAAAGTAACTTAGTAGTGTGCGTAGATATTTGATATGATAAACTGAATATCTCAGCAGACTCTGTAGCTTGTCAATCAAGAGCAGTCTACTTAAAAATTCCTTTTCTGTGTAGAACACGTCTTCAGCACATTTACAGACTACTAGAACACTGTGAGGCATTTAAGTAAGGACTATTTACTCTTGAGTAAATGGCTAGCTGTTTTACCAGCATGTATACGGGCACACAGGCTCAGTTCTGAGAACAAAGACTGGCCTCAGTCATTTAATTTTCAATTATAGTAAAAGCTTCATAGTTGAAAGGCTGTGAAAAATAGAAAAAAAAAACCTTTTTCATCTGTAATGGAAAAAAGCTTGTCCAAAAGTTGGAGAGGAAAAAAAACAAGAGTCCACACCTGGGACAAAACTCCATGTAAACTGTGAAACTATCACATATAAATACTTAAGAAGAAACTGTTTCAACACTATTAGCAATATACTTAAGGAAAGAACTAGTAATTAATTGGATGAAATCTGAGAAAAAGGAACAAGGCTAAAATATACATTACATCTTTACAGGAATAACAGCTACATCAGCACTGAGCACTCTGATCTCTGCGTGACATATTGAGACACTGATCACTTGGCAGAGGTCAGCAAGCCCAATGCAGCAAAACATCCATCAGCATTTTAAAAGAGGTTTACACCCGCTCCTGAAACATTCCACAGTGTGCAGGGAAGATGCAGCACAAGACTGGGCAGAATAGGTACATTTTTGACAACAGTAAGCATTTTTGTAAATATATAGGCTGAGTTATACATGGAGGGAACAGTCTGTGCTCTCCCAGAGTGGCTTAAAAAAAAACCAAATGCAATTCAGCTCTTAAATAATTCAGTAGGTTTGAGGAAGGGCAGGACACCCAAACTCACCTGCAAAACTGTTGGACACATCCAGTATTTTTTTCTGCCATGAGCCCAGCAGCACACCGACGACTCGCTTCTGATTTCCAACTTTTCCTATTCTAAATGGAAAAGGCTGTGAGCTCCCACAACAAAACGCCTAATTCAGGGAAGAAGGTGACAGTGGACCCCTTGCTTTGCCCCTTGAATAGCACGCATGTTGGAAGGGAAGAAGAGGCGTTATGACTGTTTTATTACTGATTGTTAATTTACATCCAGAAAAAGGCATCTTAGTGCCCTCAGAATCAAAGCCTGCAACCCAGCGATGCAGAAAGAGGGCTGCAAGGTCCGACGGAGCTCACGAGGGCGTCAGGACCTGAAATCAGCACCGCTGCAGCCTCTCCGCAGGACAATGCGCTATAAAAAAGTGAGTAAGCGCTTACACTGCTCGGTGGCACCCACAGCTCGCTTTCGCAAGAGCAGGCTCGTTCGCCTTGTGAGATTTTTAGGTTTTGACATTAAAACTGCTTGTCAATCAGTGCAATTAAGTTAAACCATGCACGAGTTACACACGAGGTATTTAGGGGGCCATGACTTATGTTCCGCTCGGGAGCCCCGGCTTTTAGGATCAGAACCCGTTTCTCCCCTGCTCGTGTTCTGACCACCGGGACGTTGTTTCCGTGCCCTCATCGGGCCCAAGGAAGGCACCGACCGGACCGCCCTCGGAACACACCAGAGGCGGCAGCGAGGGCTCGGGCGGCTCCCGCAGGCCGCGCTCCCGCCGCCACCGAGGCCCCGCGGCGCTGGGCACCGAGCGATCAGCCCGGGCCCGGGTGCTCCGCACCTCTCACAGCTCGGGGTCCCTCCCCATCGCGTTCTGCTCGGTCCGGGCCCCCCCGCGCCGCTTCCCTCACGGCCCAGCAGGGCCCGGGCCCGGGCCCGGGCCCGTGACCGTGACTCAGCGCCGCGGCGGGGCCGCGCGCCCGGCCAGCCTTACCTGTTGAAGTGATCGACGACGCTGAGGAGCACCAGCGGGTGCACCACCACCCGGTCCACCGCCAGCTCCGGCATGGCGCCCGCCCGGCCCCGCTCCGCCGCCAGCACGGCCCGACCGACCGCCGCTCCTCCCGCCCGCACCAGGCCCGCTCCCCGCCGCGCAGCCCCGCTCCCAGCCTGCCCCGCGCCGGGGCGGAGCCACCGCCGCCATCTTTAAGAGGTCGTCGTCGGCAGGAGGACGCCATCTTGGAGAGGTCGCAGGAGGCTGAGGCGCCGTCGCCATCTTGGGAAGGTGCGTCCCCTGCTGTCGGCAGCCCGGCACCATCTTGGGGAAGTCGGGCGGCTCCGCCCGGAGGCGATGGGCGGGCGCACGGGAGTGCTGTGCCCCGTTCTCTGCGGCAGGTCGGTGGCTGGCCCCGCCTGACGGGGGGCGGCTGCGGGGGCTGGTTCCTCTGAGCGGGGGCTGAGGGGACAGGGTGCGAGGGAGGCGGGTAGCGCCGTCCGGGCACAGCCGGCGGGTCCCTTGCCCACCTAAGTGGCCAGCAAGAGCGTTTGCCCCATAATCCTTCCAGGGACAAGCGGTTTCAGGAGCTGGCCGGCCTTCCGCGGCTTCCTCTGCTCTTCTGGAAAAGAGCGTGGCATTTGCCTTTTCCTAGTTGTCAGGAACATCTAATCACCATGACCTTTAAAAACCGAGAGTGCAGCCTTAGAATGGTGTTGCAATCTTATCATGACCACTAGACTGCAGGTTTAAAATGCAGGGGTGCTGTATTCTCATCTTGACTGAAAGTGGAAGCGCTAATAGCATATTGCAGGTGGTATTCTGATGTCCTTAGCTGTGTGCTTTGCGTCAGCTTCTGTGTCTGCAGCTTCAGGAGTCATTGCAACCTGGGCTGGGAAAACTTCCGTACCTTGCCTCTTTTTCCAAAGCTTCAGGTAACTTCAGGGTTCCCAGTACCATGGTAGTAAAAGCCTATATAAATAGGCAGAAATCTTCATGACTTTAGTGTTTGCTTTCTTCCAAGGGGACTGTGTTAGGCTTATTTGTTTTGTAGGCATAACTAACATCCTTCAGTCTCCTATTCGTAAATGTTTTTCCTCTCTGAAGTATAACTTTCCTGTATGTAAAGGAGAAACAGACTGACCTAAGCTGAGTGCTTCTTTGTAGTTGGGTTTATGTACCTCAGGAATAGGATCTATAGACACAGAACTCATCTCTTTAATTCTAGCAAGAAAATAGAACTTAAGGCTGTTATTCCTGAGTCTACCATGAGGACTATTACAGAGGAATTATTGACTTGAAAAGTGTTAGCAGAATTCTTGAGGATAGCCTCACTGTTTTTAAAGCATTATGTTATCCCTTATTTTCTACACTTTTCCCATGTTATATGTTTTTTGCATATTTTTCATGTCTGACCAAATAGCTATATTCTGGGTGAGTACTAGGAACCCTGACAGCCATCAGCATTTCCAAACCTGAATCTAGATAAATTTAGTGCCGGTTGAGAGGTGGGTGACATCTTAGCCCAAGCCGAGCCCATGCACAAAAGCTGCTGTGATGTCCCATCCGTGGCAGTGTTCAAGACCAGGTTGGACACAGGGGCTCGGAGCAACCTGCTCTAGTGGAAGGGGTCCCTTCCCCCAGTGGTAGGGGTGGGAACTGGATGAGCTTTAAGGTCCCTTCCAACCGAAACCACTCTGTGATTCTACGAAATCTATAGTTTTACGTTGCTGTTTAGCACCGTTTTACACGTAGCGTTCAGCAAGAGCAGCATTCATTCACAAACTCTACGAGAACTGGGGACCTCTCGTGGATATTTTTGGACGTTACATCCTTTAGGCTTATTTTTAAAACCAATTTCTGCTCGAGTTTTTAGAGGTTTCTTCCAGCAGAGGGAGACCTCTGACCGTGAAATAAAGGTACAGCCGGTGTTCTTGTCGCCTGTTTTATCAATATACGTATAAAACTCAATGTTCAAATTAACTAGTTCAATAAGTAATTTAGCTCATTGATTTTTGGGCATATCCTAAGTGCCATTACAAGCTACGGATATTTTAAATGCCATTACCTAATAGAAGGAATGTTTTAAGCACCTTTTATTGATTTTATTACTGCTTTATTTTGCTGTCTTGGTTTAAAAATCATTTTAACCACTCTGTCATCAAGAAGAAATATATCGTTGGTGAAATACAGTCAATTTCCCAAAAACCTTTGACATTGTTAAATAAGGAATTACAGTTGTTAAATCATGTCAGGCAATAACCAAGGGACAGAAATGGTATAAAATTTGGAACAGTGGTCCAGCATACCAGTAAGCTGTTTTGACCTTTGGCATTCAGATGCTGTATGTGACAATCACACTTCAATTCTGTTCTTGGTTCTTACATCAGTCAGAAGAGATTTAAAATCTCAGCATGCCAGGAAGGTTGTGGAAGGGTGATGGAGTACGATCCAGAGACAATTAAGGGACATTTTAATGACCTGCTGTGACTTTTTTGTTAAAATTACTCTCTAACTTAGCACATTCTAATTTTCATTTGCTGGAGTGTATTGCTAGTAGTTTAGCGTATTGATGTTATACACAAAAAGAGTAAAGTGAGTCTGCTCATAGGGATTTCAGTTACTTTCCCTCCCAGCTCTTTTGACTTGAGAAGATTATCAGTATTATTGAGCTAATCAGCTGATAGACTGGGAATACAGGTAATACGTTGCTTAATCAAAGAATTGAAAAGTGAGTAATGTATGTTGGTGCTCAATAAAACCAGCTAATGAGTTGATTGCATTGATGCTTGATGTATTTTAACCGTAGATTGGCAAACATCAATACTTATATATGACTTGGCTTGTTGATTGCTGAGCTGAAACTCAAAGTTTAGAGATTCTGTAGTGTATGAGCATCTGACAACTGACCTCAAGTGGGGAGGGAGCAAGCTACGCTCTGTCCCCTAAATGGAACAAGTGATTCCATCATTAACTGCTGGACTTCTGTTTTGTTGGAAAAAAACGAAACACGAAAATCCACAGAAAAACCAAACCCAAACCCCAAAACTTACATGTAACTGTTTTCAGATGTTGAAGAATGAGTTCTGGATTGAAAAATAAGAATCATTAAGAATAAATTAACTTTTTTTTTTTTATTATTCTCTACCTCTTGATCTGTTAGGTATTGTAAACAATAAAGTGCAAGGTGATGCTTACTGGAGGCACAGAAAGCCATCTTTATAGGCTTTTCTAAAACAGGATCTGCTACTGTCAGCTGCTGCGAGGCAACAGGAAGAAAACTTTTGGTACTCAGATTCTGAGTGGTTTTACATCTTTTGTCATGTTCTGACCTCTTTTCCACACTTGAGGATTGCACTTTACTTCAGGAATCTCACTTCCATCAGGAATTAGTATTTGTCTTTAAATTGTAAAGTAATCATATGCTTCAGAAATTTTTTATTTCTGCAAAATGTCCCGTGTTATGTTTGGGCCTACGGTCCTTATTAGATTGGTGACACATTCTGTGGGGAGCCATGAAGCATACCTTTGTGGAGTTTCTGCCTGCCAGCTGTTCTATAATTTAAGTAACGCGGGCCCACAAAATCACAGTAACACAGCTGAAGGACACTTTCAGTGGCCTTATCTCTTACCTTCTCCTTTCAGCCTGTCAATACTGGGGGTGAAGGGCAGTGGTGAAAATTTGTAATAGGGGAAATAAACCAAGTGGAGGTGATTCTTTTGGTAGAATCATAGAAGCATGATCATCTATGGACTAGGGAAGGCATGCATTTACTGAATACATGCAATTTGTGTTTCTAGGTGTTCGTTCCAGTGATGACAGTTAGAAAAATAAGAGTGCTTTAAATGAAAATACCAGCATGTCACAATAATGACTTTGGTTCATCAAGGCCAGGAAGTGAGGCTTGGGTGGCTGTGACCTCCAAATCTTGAGCCTGCTTTGGGTATAGCGAGGTGTATTTTTCCATCTTCTCTATGAAGGAGCTGCTTTTTGCTGGTCCGTAGCCTCTCCTTGAGAACAAGGTTTGATTACCAAAATCAAAGAGTATCTCTTGGATAGAGGGTCTCTACCACGTAAAGGGCAGGGTGCATCAGGGAGGATGCATGAGCCAGCAGATGGTGGGCTATGGGCAGGCAGGCTCAGGAATAATACAGAAGGCAGTAACACTTCAGCCTGATTTGCTCTTTGTAGCTTTTCAGTGTTTGCTAGTGGTAAGTGACATCCTTGGGATGTTGGCTACAAAGGATGGACACAGCTGGGAAATACTGTTGCCTGATACTTTGGATCATAATCCTAAATGACACTTACTATGTGCTCCTTTAATATTAGTTGTCTTTGTCTTTTTAAAAAAAAACCTCTAATTTATTTTTCTTGTCTGGGGCCGGGGAAACTGAACAGTTAGAGCAATGTCCACTGACATGTAGTTTCACTGAGATGCCTTCTAAAATATGTTTAAAACCCAGTCAAGAGAAGATAGGCTTTCTTTAGACCTTTTGATAGTTTGTCACATAATACTTTTGTGCTACCAATTCAAACAGGAAATACATTTATTTCCTAATAAATACGTTTATCTTTGTCCAAATAACTGTAGTTTCCTATTAAGATTTCTTTGGTCAGGGTGTACCATGAACTGTTTTAGAAGGAATGATGCTGCCTGGAAGTGAGCAAGCATAATGTAAGGCATGGAAGCAAAACAAAGTCACTGCAATGGTAATTCTAATTTGTCTTGGTTAAACTGTAATTCAGTAGAATGCTGGCACTGCATACTCAGTGCATGATGCCATAACGAGTGTCCTTATCCAGACTGCAGTTTTCTTCTGAAGACCTCCAGATAACCATTTTTTCCTCCCAAATGCCTGTTCTAGAATGTTATCTCTAAAGCAAACTTATAGGTATGTAATTATAAATTGATCTGTCCATTTTATGATATGATGTTTGTGTATTATGTTGTAGTAACTTACTTGTTTCCCTATAAGGTACTGTTGTTTGACCAAAAGGTACATATATATGTAGAACTTGTGCTGCTTACTGTAGTTTGGCAATCTGTGAATATTGTTATAGTTTCTGCCAATGGATTTAAAACTTCTGTCCATACCCATGGGTTATAGCTGGTGATTCCAATAATCCTGTCTTCCTACAACACTGTAACAGATAACAGATAAAGCCTGCCAACTTTTGGATATAGAATCATCATTTTTTTTTATTTAAAACCAGTTTATAGAAGTATTGTCAACATGTAAAACTATGGAAAAATCCTTCATGTTTTACATAGCACAGTTCTGTTTTTTGTTGCTGTTTCCAGATATCACAGGGTGTAGAAATGCCAGAAAAATCTTTTTTTTTTTATTTTATTTATTTAATAACTACATCACTGACTCTAATTTTTATATTTCAGTGCAGAGGGATTTGCTTATTTTACTCTGGTACCATTGCTACAAAATGATTGTTTTTGGAAAATAGTGGAAGCAAACAGTTAAAAAAAGAACGCACAACAGGTTCTAGTCATACTCATTTTTCCACACCTTGAGGACTAGCAAATTCTTTAAAATGAGATTTTATTTGTGCAAAGCAAAACTTCAAAACCACTCAAAAGCTTTCTTATTAACTGCTGTCAGTCCTTTGATTTACAAGGGCAATAAAGATCTAGAGGGGGCACATTTATCATGGAGTTCAGCACACCAGGAGCCATTTTCTCAAGCAGTAAAGCCAAGTGATAAAATGAGTTCTTTTGTTCTATAACCAAGACACATTCCCTGTTTTTAAAAATGTGTGTGTTGGACTTCTTGGCTTGTAGTTTGGCCATGTTCCTCTAATACATTCATAAATAATGCAAAATTGCTAGCATGCAGATACGGATGATGCATCTGGAAAAAAACAGACTATCTGAAAGAAAGAAACTTACTTTCAACTTTGTCTTATTTGCTAGCTTTTTCT